AATGGGGAGGTGGTGCCATCAAGAGAAATCGATGGCGAAATACGCGCTGAACTGGGCTCCGCGCAGCCGGCTGCATCTGGAACCAGTAAGAGGGGGAAGGACAGTGCGTAGGCAGTATCCCAGAGCCTTCGATGTGGCGAATTCAAGCCCGGTGGAATGCCAGTTAGGCATTCCAATTTAGATTTTACTTCCTGCTTTTAACACACTTTACTGCAGCCACATAAATTTTCTTCTTTTGTATTGTTAACTGTTCTTTTTGGATGGCAACACTAGTTGACAGTTTTGAGGCAGAAACATGACTAAGATCTTCTTCTTTTAGACCATAGGGGATGGTAAACAGGGGCGATTTCCGAAATAGGTATGTAGCGGCATATCAGTGAGAATAAGTGCTCTGAGGGCTACAATTATCAAGTCGAATCCCAAGTTGTAAGGAGAAGACAGAAGGAACCTGTTTGAGGATTTATTGTGCACAGAACCCGGAGTTGTCCTCTCAGGCGACAGTGGCCACTGGCGAAGCCAGGGCTGGTGTTGACTGCGTCCAGTCATGCCTGAGAGTCTCTGAGACAGTGGTGGCAGCCGCTTTTGTAGAGGCTCGAGGGCCAAGCTCAAGTGGCGGCCAGTCAGCGTGTGTTGCATTTGCCGAGGGGTGGTGTCCCAGTGGCTTAGGGGTTGGGGTTACAGGGGGGAGGTGCGTCCAAGTGGCCGCATGGGCAGCTGCGGTTGTGCGGATGCAGGTGTGCCCGAGCTGTTGGTCGTGTGACTTCAGGTCAGCACGTCTGGGACGGCTCGCTGCAAGGGGCGAATGGCCTTGAGGCAGCGAGGTCTTGAACAATGATGCCAGACTGGTCATGATGGCTGCCCACTACAGGTATTTATGGCCCACGGTATGTGGGGCCCAGATACAAGACCTTAAATGGAACTCCCGTCGCGTAGTAGGTAGGCTGTCTATAGATATTTTGCGTTAGACACGAGTATGGGTTCCGCCGTCCCCCCCCCCCTCAACCTTACTAGATGTGACCTTGAGCTAAATCCCAGTGGTGCCTATTCCTGTCCCCTAAATTTGGCCCCGAGTCAGGTGTACGGTTTATGGCCAGGGCTACTCTCTCCGGGGGAGCAGTTGTTCTAAATAAAATAACTGTGGGCATTTATTCGGCGAGTTTTGCTTTTACAGCCCCACTTGACTGATACCATCTGTTTGGCTTTCTAAAATAATTTGCGTTACCCACTCGCTCGCCTCTAGAGGTGGCGTGTTCACGCTCTCTCCGCGACACAGCCACTCGATGTATTAAGAGGATAAGAAGGTCGCAATCACAAGTGGAAGACCACGGAGGGAGCCGCGTAGTAATTCGCAGTGTATGGCCATTATAGTGGAAACGACGGAGTTCCAATCCGTCCGGACAATGTTATTAGCAAGCATACTTACCCACTCGCTCGATTAAAATAACAAATAGGGTGCACGCAGTGCTCGAGATGCGCGTGTGAGCTGATAGACCGAGGGTAACATATAAACATCCCCCTTCGAAGCATAGTCACTCGCTGAATTAAAGTAGTACGGAGGGCGCAATCAGGTGATATATGTATAGCGTGTATTAAAATTGTTTTAGGAAACCAACCATATGATGTCAGTCAAGTGGGACTGAGGGGACCAAACCTCGCCATTTATGTTTACGTGCCAGAGAAAGAAATAAAAAGTCCTTGTGGTGGCAGTTGCGTGAGGGTGGTCAAGGTGCCTTAAGATATTCATCGGAGCAAAAATACGACAGTACAGTACCTTTCTGACAATTCCTGCAAAAAGACATTTCATTTATTTACTATTACCATTAAGCGGTAAAAAATAGTCTCCCTTTTTAATTAGTGACAATATGGAAGAACAAATTTTGTGATACCGCAAAGTTTTTAGATGCTTAACTATTTTCTCAAAACAAATGCTCCCCCCAAGATAAGTAACCCCGACACTAGCCATATCCCCTGATTTAGCACAAGGTCATCTGTAATACGGGGAGGCACTTATTCCCGTATCCCAAATTACTTAGGTTCGTTTTACGCAATAATGTCAGTCTTTTTGTCCTTCAACTACCTCTTCTTAGGAAGACCGTGTAGCGGAAGTCAAAGCTGTGGCCGG